ATACAGATTTAAAAAGTAGAGCTTAGAAAATAAAATAAAAAATAAAACTAATCATTTTTTGTAATTTACACACAATATATATGTAATAATTAGCTTACTTGTATATATAATATGTAATTTCGTGAAACATCGTAGATTGAAGAAAGAGAATTTTTAATTTCTTCTTCACTTATACTTTAAAAAAATATACTTAATAACATAAAGTTTATAATGTGAAAATAATAATAATAAAAAGACTGAATCAACCGGTAATTATATGATAATTGAAACATATTGCGAAATTTATAAAAATAATTTGATAAATAGAAATTGTGATGTCTAAAACAAAAAATGAGCATACATAAACTATATTAAATTTAAATTGCTAAGTATAGTTTGATTGTCTAGTTAATTATATTTTTATAGGCATGAAGGTGACATCTGGATAATCAAAATGCTATAGTAATTTTGGTCACTTCACAGATAATAAAGAACTTGTTTTAACTTTTTTATATTTTTTACACTTTCTTACTCCCTTCATTTCAAAATAAATGTTTATTTTTTATTTTTTATTTTGCTTTGAATCGTGTTTTACATAATCATGAAGACTTTAATGATATTTTCTTTTTCAATTTTATCCTTATTTAATCAAAAGAAATTTATATAACCAAAAAGCTGGGTCAAAGAACTATATTTTTTTACAAGATATATATTAAAATTAATTTAGTAAAAATATCTTACTGTATAGTCCCGCCCCAAACTAAAAAACAAAGTTGACATACTATGAAAAGGTGAATATCATGGAACTGAAGAGTACATAACAAAATGAAATTGAATTACACTAACTTATGTCTTAGTAGTTATGTGATGAAGACTTTAAGAAAAAGTAAGGAAAACACTATTTCAAATATGAAATAAAAAAGATAATCTCAAGTAGGGTTTCATGAAATAAATAATTATGAACTTATATAAACAAAATTGAGGAATCTTTAAAGCAAAAATATAAATAGTTCTATCTGCAATAGTATTTTTAAACCTTTGTTAGTAGTTAGTATTATTACACATAAAGTTACAATAACTAATTTGCATCTAAACAAAAAACATACTTGCAATAATAAAATATTATAAAAATTCAAACTAAAGAGAAGTTACATGGAGAATAAAAGCACACACATCTTTCTTGGAACCTTATCATAAGAAAATAAATAAAAATAAGAATACAAAATCAATGCCCACTTTTTTTATCTCTTGTCCGACACCCTCTTTGACAAACTAATCAACATTCAAGAGTCTTCTTCATCGTGTCAAGTTAAAGCATGAAATGGATAATATAATAATTACTACAAAGAACAATGAAATATAAAGAATAATCTTGAGTTGGAATTTCATGAAACAAAAAACTTGTGAATTTATATTGATAAAAAAATAGAGAGATATCATAAAAGTATCTTAAATTTTATAATTTAATAGTTGGGGGATATGAATATGAAAACTTAAAAGTCATGGAATTAATGATATTATTAAAAATTGAAGTTTAATAGATTTATATTATGGAGGTAAAACTTAAAACTTAAATAAAAAAGAAAAAACACAAATACAGTGCATAAAAGAAATACATTTATATTCTATAAAAATATTATTTTTTTGAATTGAATAAATAAAAAGAAAAATAAAAAAAAGAGAAAAGAAAGGGAAAAAAATATAAAATCAATAAAAATCATAAAATTTAACTATCGTGAATAGTTTGTTGGAATTCTTTTTAAATCAAATGAAAAAGTTTGTAATAATTGATGAGAATTTGAGAAATATTATAGGAAAAGAGAATAATAACTTTAATGACAAATAAATTAAATATGGCTATTGATGAAAATATAATTAAATATGATTAGTTTTAATGGTCTTTTATGTTTTAGGTGAAGTTTTTGGTATTTTAAAATTAGATAAAAGGCCAAAAAAGATAAATTTGATTGAAACCCTTGGAGAGGGTCATATCACTGTTTTTATATTCAGATTTACTATTATATATAAATTTGTAATAAATTAAATATTTCACTTTTACAGCAAAATATTAGTGAAAATAAAAGAAAAAAGATAAATACAAATAAAGGTTTTAGAGAAATGCCACATATTATACAAGAAAAGACAAATAAATCATACCTTTTACAATGAATTCTGGATACATATCATGAAAAAATTTCTGGATACATATTTAGAAAATATATTTTTCATGTAATTAAATACACATATTTATGCAATTTATATATGGAACATATTCATCTTACCTTATTCTATAGTATCATCTGCTTTTTTTTTTTAACATCCAAATTCAAAATCATAAATCTCTACTTATAGAATCGGGAAAAGAACAAAATTTATGTTAGCATATTTTTATAAAAAAATTACAAATAAAAATGTAAACAAATGAAGGATGAAGAATAATTATTTAAAAACCATGTGAAAGTAGTTACCGAAGAAAAAAATATATGTTTAACTGAGTAAGGAAAATGACTAAAAGAAAGGAGAGGATGAAAGTAAAGCAAAAATATAGTAAAGTAAAGCTTTGAGTAGTAGTTTTTATAGACTTGAAACGACAATAAATGTGTAATTAAAAGGTAAGAAATTAATTAGAATTTAACTTTTAATATGGCCACGTTTTAGGAGACGTTTTAAAACGGCAATACCATTTATCTTGTGTATTTAATATTTTTTTGACAATTTTTTAATAAAAATGAAAAAAAAATGCTAAGAAAATAAAAAAAGAGATATCATAAAGTATCTTAAATTTTATAATTTAATAGTTGAAGGCTATGAATATGAAAACTTAAAAGTCATGGAGTTAATAATATTATTAAAAATTGAAGTTTAATAGATTTACGTTATGGAGGTAAAACTTAGAAATTAAATAATAAAAAAACACAAATAAAGTATATAAAAGAAATACATTTATATTATATAAAATATAATTTTTTTAATTGAATACATAAAAAGAAAAGTAAAAAAAGAGCAAAGAAAGGAAAAACTATAAAATAAATAAAATCATAAAATTTAACTATCGTGAATAGTCTGTTGGAATTCTTTTTAAATCAAATGAAAAAGTTTGTAATAATTGATGAGAATTTGAGAAATATTATAGGAAAAGAGAACAATAACTTTAATGATAAAACAAATTAAATATGGCTATTGATGAAAATATAAGTAAATATGATTAGTTTTAATGGTCTTTTATGTTTTAGGTGAATATTTTGGTACTTTAAAATTAGATAAAAGGCCAAAAAAGATAAATTCAATTGAAACCCTAAAAGAGGGTCATGTCACAGTTTTTATATTCAGCTTTACTATTATATATAAATTTGTAATAATTAAATATTTCACTTTTACAGTAAAATATTAGTTTAAATAAAAGAAAAAAGATGAATACAAATAAAGGTCTTAGAGAAATGCCACATATTATACAAAGAAAAGACAAAGAAAACATACCTTTACAATGAATTATGGATACATATCATGAAAAATATTCTGGATACATATTTAGAAAATATATTTTTCATGTAATTAAATACACATATTTATGCAATTTATATATGGAACATATTCATCTTACCTTTTTCTATAGTATCATCTGCTTTTTTTTGAACGTCCAAATTCAAAATCATAAATCTATATCTATAGAACCTGGAAAAGAACAAAATTTATGTTAGCATATTTTTATAAAATCTTTACAAATAAAAATGTAAACAAATGAAGGATGAAGACTAATGATTTAAAAAACCATGTGAAAGTAGTTACAAAAGAAAATATATATGTTTAAATGAGTAAGGAAAATGACTAAAAGAAGGGAGAGGATGAAAGTAAAACAAAAATATAGTAAAATCAAGCTTTCAGTGGTATTAGTTTTATGGACTTGAAATAACAATAAATGTGTAATTAAAGCTAAAAATTAATTAGAATTTGACTTTTAATATGACCACGTTTTAGGAGACGCTTTAAAACGGTAGTACCATTTATCTTATGTATTTAATTTTATTTTTTTTGACAATTTTTTAATAAAAATGAAGAAAAAAAATGCTAAGAAAATTAAAAAATCTGAGAAAATAGATAAATTCCTGATCAATGAGGCATGCCACATCAGCGGACTTATGTTCCTCCTTTATTTATATATATATATATATATATATATATATAAATATTGATGATTAGATTTTTGTTATGCAAAAATGACTTTGAATTCAAAATAAAATTTATTTAGGTGCTGGGTGGTTGAAAAGGCTCATAAAGCCATTAAACACAATGATAGTGATGGTGCAGGCTATTCTATTTAACTCCTTCATCAATTCTTTTCTTCCTAAAAATTGTGATGACTTTATACTATATATATATATATATACTAGTGTTTATCGGTCAATCACCTAAATTAATTTATTATTTCATCATAATTTTTTTCAAATTTTTTGTGCCTCCTAGTTTTTTCTTAAAAGTCAGAAGCTTAATTGCATGAGTTTAGTTTGAATTTTTTATTTAGAAAAGGATCTGATATACCCTTAACTTTGTTATTTATAATTGATATATCATTGTTATGAAAGTGGTTCATATATACCCTTATTGTTATACAAATGACTCACATATGCCCTTTTTCTATATCATAAGTGAAAAAATTAATTTCAAATTAATTTTTTATTAAAATAAATAATCCATGTAGAGGTATATTTGATCTTCTCACATTTTAATTTTTTTTTTTAATTCAATAGCTAATTTGAATTTATTATTTTAATGGTCAAATTTATTTTTTTCACTTAATTTCTTGTAAAATTTATCGTAGACGCACCAATTACTTTTTACAGATATAAAAACTAAATTACAATATATCCTCAAAAAATTGTTTTAAATTTTTTTCTTACTTTTTTGTCTTTATCCATTCACACTTCTTTCTTTATATTTCTCTTATTATTACATTAAAGAATAAAAGAAAAATAATATAAGAATAAGAAACTTAAATAATAATAAGGGATAAAGGTCTGAAAAATATTCAACTTTGATCGAATTTACTGTTGCGATATTAAACTTTCGTGATGATCTATTACCTCCTAGACTATTTAATACCGTATCTTCTTCTTTATTCCTAATTCTCTCTACAAAAATGTTGTTGCATGTTGTTTGCCCCAAATTGGCATGTGCATGTGGATTGTAACACCAAGATTCAGGCTAATTGTGATGAATATTTTATTATTATTATTATTCATAATCACAGTCTGGTGTATTTGTTAGTTTTTGAATATAATTTCTTTCAAGAATTTTTACATACGTGTTAGTAATTGTACTTGATTTGCATATGTATCACATCTCTTTGATGAATTTGGTCTTTGTTTTCAACTAATTACTGAAGAACTAAACCATTTTATGGAAGATTTTCAGCTATCAAAGATCAATGAAATTTACAAGTGGATTGTGCACCCAAGGTGTTTGATGTTATGCATGAACCATCATGTTTTGACTATTCCGTGATTTTTGTTCTTTTTGGGTTGCAGTAGCCAAAATCTCTAGGAGAGAATGAGCAAAGACTCTTCTTGACTTTCGTTCACCATGCTAGCAATTATCATCTTCTACACGCTAAAGATACAAGGTATGATTGTTAATTACTTGTTACATATTCTCGTTGCTTCGTTTTAATCAACGATGAGATCTTGAGTATTGTTCACTATTACTGTCATTTTTCAAATTTTGGTGTTTGATATGTTGTTCTACTTTTTCTTTGAATTGAGTAATAGTAAAACTGCGAGAATTATCTACTATAGGCTGATTTTCTGCATTTAGAAAAATCTTAGGAACCTGCTCACTTTGTCTACTAACATTATCAGTCCCATTCTTAGTTTGATTTTTGCCTATTATCAACATGATTGGTAACAAAGGCTTTTTCTTTACTTTTCCTTTAGTTTCAAGATGAGATATTGCAGCCATGTTTAAGCAAGTAAATCAGTAGTATTTCACTTCTAAAAGGTATGTTTTGAACTCCCTCTTCATATATAAGATTATAATGGTGTTTTGACACCATTTAGTAAAATGCTCACGAAATTGTGTCCAGAAATAGAGAGTTCAAGTTTGTATGTTTGTTTTTTCATGCTATTCATTTCTTTTTCTTTCCATTATTTTCTTTGAATTTAAATTTTTATATCATATAAAATAATATCCCCTTCATATTTTGAAAGTAATACCATTCACCTTTATTAAGGTCCCTGTGACCAAATTCCTTTGTGATAGAAACTGTTATCTATTTAGTAAACAGTAAGGTGAAAATGTAGCATGTACCTAAGAGAGTATCAATGAAATCATATTTATCACAATGTTATTACCTTTTTGCTTGTCATCAATATACGACAATTGCTACATCTAAACATAAAAGTAGTTGTGCTCTTGAACATAATTAAGTGGAGTTAGTAATTTGTTATAGTTTATGAAATATGATGAGGAAGCAGTCTACATTTGATATTTCAGATTTAAATAATAGTTACTTGACTACAATTAAGTTAATTTATTCATTAGTGGTGAGTTTACATCTTCTTTTCTATGATTAATGAACAATTCAAATAGAAGAGGTAAAAATGCTGATTCTTGTGACTTTAGATAGTTCACGCGTTATTACTTTTTTGAATTTAATTAGTTTCCGAAGACCAAATATCATTCTATGAAAATATGAAGGCCAAAATGTTATTTTTATAGATTGTTTATAATATATCCAAATATGATTTTCTTATAGTAATTTGATTAGCATGTCATTCAAAAATGCCAGATAATCCAGTTATAGGTATAATGACTTTGACATCAGCTTGGCCTTGGATGATAAAACTCCTCCATTACATGTATGTGAACTCTCTTTCATTTCGTCTTTGTGATGGTTAGATTCTTTCTTTTCCTTATCAGTCTTGCCTTAAATAAATATGTATTGGTGTTTTGTATAGAGATGTTGGAAATGATACATGGAGTTCTCTGTTTTTTTATATGTTAATTATTTGGTTAACACTGCTATGTCTAATTGTAGTACCAAAAGTAATGTAAATGATACTTTATACTTGAGATCATTTGTTTGGATGTATATTTGATGTATCTTTCTTAAGCAGACATGTGTATTATGATTATGTTCATAGTCTTTGGTTGTTTTACTATCCGGATATCTATTCCTTCATCTTCTTTGTTTCCCCACTTTTTTGCTCTCTTTTGGACTTCTCAATAGTTTTTCGAGCTCTCTTAATCTTCGCAACTGGTGTTCTAATATTCAGGTTTCCTCTCTCATCCTTGCCAACTCCTTCTCTCTTTTTTCAATCTTCTTTAGGGCTTTCTTTTCTTGTCTGATTTGACCTGATGAGGTTGGTAGAGTAAGGGATGAGGGTGAAAAGGATATAACTCGGCTCTATTATTGAAAACAATGGTGAAATTTTACTATGAGTTCAAAAAATTACTTTACAAATTTCCAAGAACTGTCAAGTGTAAATTATAACAAAAATAGAGGTACATAATGTTTTTTATCACTATAAAATTTCTTGTGCTTTTGGATCTTTTCTTACTTGATTCTACATACACATGTTCTTTTTTGAATATTTGGAGTCAAAATTCTTGATTTTCTCCATAACGGCCTTCTTTGGGAGGTCATGAGGAGATCTGAGAGGGCTGTAGTGGGCCGGAATTCATGTTTTAGAGATTTTTCCTCTCTTCCTAATTTCTTTAACACTATGGATTAATATTTTCAAAGGTTAGTAATATATTTCTGTTCAGTCAATTTTTTTTTACCTATTACCTTGTTTTCTAGACTAGATTCGAGTGGACAAAAAAAAGTTATTTTAGCTCTTCCTAAAAATAAGAAGCAATGTATATTATTCTAATTTTGAAGAGTAAACTGAAGACAAAAAATAATTGGGCTTGCAGTAAGGGCAATGATGCATATAACATGAGGTGATTGTTTCCTAAAATTCTATGTTCTCACTAGGAGAGAATATGAAACAGGTTTTTATTAATACTTTTGTTTTAAGTACTTTATCTGTGTATTAGTGTGGTGAACATGTAAATTACTATGTTTGGAACTATAGTTAGAAGCATCTATACTTTGATGTTAACTGAAACAAGTTATATTTCGTTGTTTCCAGCTAATTATGATTTCACTGCTAAAATATTTAATAATTTGACTGTTCCAAGCATTTATAGTATAGACCTATAGGAGGCATCACGGACCTATTGAAAGAAATGTCATATTTCTAACAATGTGATACTGAAGCAGTATTCAAGTAGAACAAGGAACTTCTTCTTCCAAACAAGTGACTCCTATATAAGCAACCATCAGTGTTTTCAACTTTTCTCTCGACTTTTTACTAAGAGCTTCACGCTTCTACAAGAGTTTGAGACCACTTGTTATGTCATGTGGCAGATTGGGGTGTATTTAAGTTAAGTTAGTCAAGTAGAGGAGTGTTTTTAAGGCTATCAATAGTTTGAGCATGAAACTAATAATTCACGCCAAGTTCAGGATGTTAATACTTCTCTCTTCTTTATATTGCATTATGAGAATAGCATTCCAAATTTCACCGCAATGACACAAGATAAGGGAAATTAATACCAATGACTTTCTTTGTAGGAGTTGAATTCTTAGTGATAAGTAGATAACTAAGCAGCTTAAAACAATGCTCCACTACGAATTTGTACCTAGCTACTCATAACAATGCACATAATTTTATGACATTCATAGAATTAGGCTTTTAGTATAAATATACTAACTCGCAAAAAAGCTATTGTTAAGAATATGACGCGTAAATGATATGTTTGTAACTTTTTCCAGGGATCTTCATATGAGACATCTAACTGCCACCTAAGTCACTTGAGTTGTGGGTATACGAGGTTAGACCATACTTAGAAAACATTATGCTTTTAGTGTTGATTCAAATGAATCTAAATAAGGAATTTTTATTCAATCATTATTTAGAAATATTTTTTGCTGAATTCTACCTACTTCACATGTACATGAAATGAATGTGTTGGTTACTATGAAATGAATGATGAACAAGACCTACACAATTGTGTACTATATGTTGTTGTTGATATCAAATGATAAAATTAACTGATCTTTTATGAGAAACCCATCAATGATTCAACATCTTTTTTATGACTTCTAAAAGTTCATACATTTGAATTGCATAAGTTTGCTTCGATAAGTTCATATATCTGATTTATGTGGGTTGCTATGCAAATAATTTACCTTGCTGCTTCAATGATCAATCTCAGTGAATAGTTGAAGAGGTTCCTACAAAAATTAGAGAAAATCCAAGAAGAAGGCCTTTGTGAAGTATTCCAATAAATATGAGACTGATGAAGGTAAAAAAAACATACAAGCATTGATTTTATGCTTGTGTCATTCACGTATTGGCTTACTTAGGTACAAAATCTGAATGTCATCCCTCATAGATTTTTTTTTGTGGGAGGGAGGGGGGGGGGGGCATGACTTGTATCCACTTTTGTTGTATATATAGAATGTATTTCAATTAAATAAACTCATGCTTTCTCCAGAATTTTTGTTTAGACCAAAGTTCAAGTTCTGTGATACTGGTAGATGTCGTAAGAATTAATTTCTACTTGACATTTGCACCTCTTAAAGTTAAATAAGTTGATACTTGCATGTTATCCTCTTTCGCTAGGCAAAACATCTGCATTCTTTCTAATCCACATATACTGGCTATTTATGCAATGAATTTGTTGATCTTATAGGGCTTAACAACATGATCAAGACAACAAGAGATCACTTACCAGACATTTAGGTTTGGCGCTGAATATTTTGATTGAGAAATAGTGTTGAGTACTATTGGTCTATGTCAGAGTGGAGATAATGTACATAGCCTCTATTTAAACTTCCATATGAATTAGTGTTTATTTTATTTATATTGATGTAAGACTGGAAGAGGATCAATATTATCTAAAGGTACATGGACTTCTCTTTCACATGTACATAAACATGTCACTTTCCTAACCAAGTTAGTGCAAAGAAATTTAGATTAAATTATTTAAGTTCTATTCTTACGATAAAAAAAATGATATTGAAATCACACATGTTTGGCCCGTGCTCAGCACGAGCGACGGACAATCTAGTATACTTATAAACAAGTCTTTTATCACTTATAATATATTCACTTAAAATTATTTGCATATTTTACTTGGACACATCATCTTAGGCTTGTTCGAATTGAACACTTTTATTAGTAAAAATATAAATACCTATTAAACATTTTTTGACAATTAACTAAAAATAGAAATTGTGTGTCATACACTCACGATAACGTGATAGTAAATAATCAGAAAAAGATATGTGGCATTGGACCCATGATAATAATAATAAAAAATAAATAAAAACTATGTTTTTAGCCAAAAAAAAAAAAAAAAAGACGAAAAACCTCTCTCCCTTTTCTTCTTTGCCTGAACACCCCACCCACCCCGACATCCATCCTTCCACATTTTCATCTTTGCCAAAACACACATAGCCGTGGCTAAAACCACACACTCCGATAACCATCCTCATTGCAAAAACCATACACCTACCTCCTCTCCTTTATTCTGATTTGTAATCGAATAGAAGTTCATATCTTATTCCAATAGATAAGCAAGATATAAATACAATATACTAGGTGCTAATTTAGGAAAGAAAATAAAGAGGGATTCCTACAAATCTGCTAGCTAATTATGAAGGATTCCTACAGATCTACTAGCTAAAAATATGCCTATGTATACTACTAAAATGATGTCTATATACATTTTGTAACACTCCCCCTCAAGTTGGAGCATAGATATTAACCATGCCCAACTTGTTGCAAAGGTAATCGACTCGAGTTCCATTTACCACCTTCGTAAGCAAATCAGCTAGTTGCTCTCCTGTCTTCACGTAGCTAGTAGAGATCAAGTTTTCTTGAATCTTCTCACGAATGAAGTGACAGTCAACTTCAATATGTTTAGTTTTTTCATGATACACTGGGTTTGAGGCAATATGAAGAGTAGCTTGATTATCACACCAGAGTTTTGTTGGCATATGATGCTTCAACCCTATTTCAGTTAAAAGATGATATATCCACATAATTTCACATGTAGACTGTGACATAGCTCTGTACTCAGATTCTGCACTGGATCGAGATACAACACTTTGCTTCTTACTCCTCCACGCTACCAAGTTTCCTCCAACAAAGATACAATAACCTATAGTGGATCTTCTATTAATCTTGGAACCAGCCCAATCAGCATCTGCAAAACACTCAATATGAGTATGGTTGTGATTGTTATACAATATGCCAAGTCCAGGAACTCCTTTCAAGTAACATATAATCTGTTCCAAAGCTGCCCAATGTTCGACCGTAGGTGCAGACATGAACTGACTTACAACACTTACAGTGAAAGTAATATCAGGACAAGTCACTGTGAGGTAGTTTAACTTCCCAATTATCCTCCTATACCTCTCTGGATTATCAAAAGGGTCGCCATCTTTCATGAGATGCACATTGGGAACCATTGGAGTACTGCAAGGTTTGGCTACCAATTTTCCAGTTTCTGCAAGTAGGTCAAGAACATACTTTCTCTGAGATAGAAGAATTCCCTTCTTGCTTTTATTTACTTCTACTCCCAAAAAATATTTCAACTGCCCCAAGTCCTTTGTATGAAACTTAGTATGTAAGAAAGACTTAAGGGAAGAGATCCCCTCAAAATCACCTCCTGTGATAACAATGGCATCAACATATACAACAAGAAGGATAGTGCCAACTTCAGATTGTCGGTAGAAGACAGAGTGATCACATTTGCTCATTTTCAGTCCAAACTCCTGAATGACCTCACTGAACTTGCCAAACCAAGCCCGTGGACTCTGCTTCAAGCCATACAAAGACTTTTTCAAATGACAAACTTTCTTAAACTCTCCTAGACCAATAAAACCAGGTGGTTGTTCCATATACACTTCCTCTTGAAGATCACCATGAAGGAATGCATTCTTGATATCTAACTGATGTAAAGGCCAATTCTCAGAAGTAGCTAGAGAAATGAACAAGCGTACAGAATTGAGTTTAGCAACCGGAGAAAAAGTGTCTGAATAGTCCACCCCATAAGTCTGAGCATATCCTTTAGCTACAAGCCTAGCCTTAAGTCTTGCCACGGAACCATCTGACATAACTTTAACTGTGAACACCCACTTACATCCTACTGGTTTCTTCCCAATGGGTAAATCCACCAAATCCCATGTGTGATTTTCCTCTAATGCATGTATTTCCTCAAGCATCGCATTTGACCATCCAGGATGATGCAAAGCCTCCTTCACTATTTTGGGTACAGAAACAGAGTCTAGAGAAGCAATCAAGGATCTAGATATAGGAGATAAGCGATCATAGGAAACAAAGTTAGCAATAAAATATGTGGATTTGCAAGTCCTTGTACCTTTACGAAGAGCAATAGGGAGGTCAAGTTGTTCTGGAGGATTAGATGGAGGAGTTGGTGTAGGACATGTATCATCAGTCTCTCGTCTCCTCGAATAAACTTGAACAATTGGCGGTCTTGTTGGAACATGTGTTGGTGGCACAGTAGTCGAGTGGTGCTCAATAGAGTCAATAGGAGGTGGAAGAATAGCATCACTTGATTCCACAACACGAGTAACATGATAAACTAACCACTCATCTTCCTCCCCCTGACTTGTAATTTTAGGAGGAGAATAGAAAAATGGTGTAGTCTTTGAAAATACCATATCATTAGACACCAGATATTTGCCAAGTTCAGTAGAATAACATCGATACCCCTTTTGAAGACGAGAATAACCCAAGAAAACACACTTCAATGCAAGAACTGTCGATGTCATGCGATTAATCAGAAAACAAGTCATAGAGATTGCATCGGCCCAAAATTGTTTAGGAACTTTCATTTGGAACAAAGTGCTCGGGCTGTCTCAAGTAGATGTCTATTCTTCCTCTCAACAACTCTATTTTGAGAAGGTGTATCAACACAAGATGACTGATGGAGGATACCGTGTTGTCTCATGTAGGATTGAAACAACTCTGACATGTATTCTTTTGCATTATCACTCCTTAAAATATACACAGAAGCATTGAATTGAGTTTTGACTTCAGCAATAAAAGGCACAAAAGTGAGTAAACACTTCAGAGCGACTTTTCATAAAATAAATCCAAGTCATCCGAGAGAAATCATCCACAAAAGTGACAAAATATTTATGTCCAGTTTTGGAAACAACTGGACATGGTCCCCAAACATCAGAATGAATTAACTCAAAAGCTGATTCAACTTCGTTTATTAACCCTTGGACCTAATGTGATGCGATGATGTTTTGCAAATCGGCATGATTCACACTCCAAAGAAGGAACATTTTGAAACTGGGGACATAACTTCTTTAATAAAGGTAAAAAAGGTTGTCCTAATCGACAATGTGCTTCAAATGGAGACAAGACACTTGAGTAGGCAACAAATCGAGACTCATATTCATCAAGGATATATAGACCATCAATTACATGTCCTTTACCAATAACCTTATGCGTCGCAAGATCACGAAACAAGCAATGATTAGGAAAGAACGAAACATAACAATTAAGATCTCTAGTAAGTTTACTCACAGAAATCAAATTGAAGGCTAACTTTGGTAGATTTAATACAAAGGACAAGGTAATAGAGGAGGTTGCTTTGACGGTTCCAGATCCCACAATGTATGTTGACCCATCGGCTACTGTTACAGGAGAGGGAGCTTTGTGTGATTGAAAGGTAGAAAATATGTTCTAATTACCTGTCATGTGATCTGTAGCACCTGAATCAATCACCCAGTTGTTCGAAGATGAGACCAGACATGCTTTTCTTGAACCAATAAGGGTAGTAACTGCACTGAATTCTTTAAGGGATTCTTGATACTGAGAGAACTCTGCAAACTGATCTGCCGAAACCAAAATTGTCTTATCCTTCTGATTTGTAGCCATATTTCCTCCTTTCTAATTGTTTGAGTTATATTTTCCAACTCAAATACCCAAAGTAGCAATATAGGAGAATCCAGCAAACACAAACATCAAATACAATCCAATACCAACAAAATAATTATAGTGGAGGCTCAAACTTCAAGAACAAAGGAAGACGAGAGACCAAAGGAACCAGAAATCAAGAACAAACATCCAGAAAATACAATTCATTCAATGTTTAACAATATTCAACAATCGCAGCAGCACCAAACAGAATACCAGATCTGAATCGCAGAAGCTATAGAGAAATATGAATCTGGAAGTAACCTTAAAAAAAAATATGAACCTGAAAGGGAAAAAGTGTTCTCCAAACAGTGTTTCAACACCAAACAAAACTCGGGGTACGCCAGAAAGGATGATCTGCCTCCTACTGTGGCAGTGACACAAATTGGCCACTTTGAAAGTGATCGATTTGAAATCTGAGCTTGTTTCTGTAAGACAACAAAACGAGATCGAGCTGCCTTTCGAAACAAAGAGAAAACAGGATCAAAGAACCTATAGGCTCTGATATCATGTAATCGAATAGAAGTTCATATCTTATTCCAATAGATAAGCAAGATATAAATACAATATACTAGGTGCTAATTTAGGAAAGAAAATAAAGAGGGATTCCTACAAATCTGCTAGCTAATTATGAAGGATTCCTACAGATCTACTAGCTAAAAATATGCCCATGTATACTACTAAAATGATGTCTATATACATTTTGTAACATGATTCAATATTGTAGTTGTCATTTCTTCCAATCTCATTCTCGTTTTCAAATATCAACCAAGATTTGTTGATATTTTTTTCTTATTCAATGTTGTGCGTTCTTTAGAATTTGAATTCTTTAATGATTTCAAAGAAAATAATTTCAGATTCGTATTAGTCTTGTCGGAAAAAAATGGAGTTTCACCGGAATTGTTTCGACTCAATTTGATTTTTATTCTGATGAAATTCTCTTCTACAACTCAAATGAAAATCTTTATCAGTAAATTCTTTTGATTTTTTTTATGTTTTGACTGGTTATTTATTTAATTGATGCTTTTTCGATGAAGTAAACAACGATGATGATATTGATAATGGCGGAATGATGCTAGAAAGAAAGAAAGAATGAAGAATTAGATGGGAAAGAGGTGTGTCGAGGGATGGTGGCGAATGAAATTTGCTTGATGAGAATATTGGATTGAGAAGTCCAATTGGGGAAGACGAATTGGGGAAGATGACTACCAAGGATTTTTAATTTTTTTTATATGTTCAACTTATGATTTTTCTAATGTTAATATCTAAGTTTTAACCAAGAACAATCCTTCAACTTCCCCCCATTTCAGACTCATTTTTGGTCCTATTCATCGTGATTCTTATCCCCATAATGCTGTAGGAGCGTTGTGAATGTAAGAGAAACCCCGTGCTTCTACAATTTCAACAATAATCATATGCAAAACTTATAAAATTCAGTCAATTACTCATCAATTACTAGCAGGCAATAGTCATTATGTGCGTAATGAAGTAAGGGAGTGAGGAAATGATTATTACCTTAGTATCATCATTTAGGGTGTGTTTGGTATGAAAGGAAAACATTTTCCGAAAAATATTTTCCAATTTTTTCATGTTTGGTTGGGTTAAATGTTTTCCAAATCAACTCATTTTCCTCAAATTTAAGGAAAATGACTTTTCTTCAAAAACTTAAGGGAAAAACATTTTCCAAAACTCTCTTCCAACTTCAAATTACAATTACTTTTTTGTTGAAAAAATCAATTTATTTGTCCCTACCCTCAAACCAGCCCCTCCAATAAATAAATAAATTTAAAGCTTGTTTTCAAATTCAATTTTTTTACCCCACCCTCACCCCTACCCCCACCCCTCCCAAAAAAATATTAAAAGTTGTTTTTAAAAGATATTTCTAATTTCAATTTTTTATTTTTTTACACCCCCACCTCCTACCCTCCCCCTCCCCACCCCCTTCAAA